AGGTGGTGACTCCGGCCCTCGGGTGTGCCCCCTGGTCTGGTTTATAATTGGGCTGTCAGTTTGTGTATAAATATGACGATACACTAGCTTGTAGAAGGTGGTGAGACATCGCTTTATTTTAAATATCTATCAAGAAGTTGATGTACAGGGAACTTGACTTTTCTATGACTGGTATACAATGCTAAGAGCGGAAGAAAAAAAGTAGTGACCAACATCAGATATTTTAGATAGAGTTATTTCTGTAACATTCTTGCAATAGCTCAATCGGTAAGAGTGCTCGCATTGTAACCGGGAGGTCGTGAGTTCAAATCCCGAGTTCAAACCAACGATAGGGTCATACCAAGGACTTAAGAAATGGTACATACTGCTTTCTTTCATGAGAAAGAGTATGGGAAGGTCAAACACACAGCACTACCTGTGGACTAGCCCCCTGCTGTAGTGCTTGCACAACTGCGTGGCCCAAGGGCTACAGAAATGGAGAGGGGCACCACCCTTATGCTCCGCAAGGAGTGGAAAGGGACCTTCTAATAGCTTCTTTTTCTTGTAACATTACCTGTCGTGTTTTCATGTAAATTACGTAACGTGCAAATGCGATTCATCTTCAAGGCTAGCTTGAAAAGACAGGTAAAAACTAAATAAACAGAGACGTTGTTGTGACAACACCAGCCTGTCCCAAACTGACAGTACGGTAGACGACTCCATTGTCTTCTGCTATCCATCATTGGACCGACACACTGTCACCATGGACCCGTGCTGGCCACCTGCAGAGCCCTGCTATATCTGTACTGTCAGATATCCATGTACATGCATTTAGTCTCCTTAATGTTTCCAATGATGAGGAAGGGGTCACATAGCATGTCTGCAGAACGTACTGCACCTGTGAGAAATCTGTAATGTATTGTGCATAGCTCTTTGGCAGAACATCTCATATAAGGTCGTATTAGCGTATGTAAGGTTAACATCCCGTCTGTAGTTTCCAAATGCTATGTCGGAAAAGACATCCTCTGCAACAGGCAAAATTCTGATGCAACGTTGACCAAAAATTCAACGAAAACCGTGAAAAATTGGGGTTTCGTGCAGGCACAGTATGTTCTACAGGATGCAATTTCAGGGCGACTATATATACAAAAATAGTCTGCATGAAAACATCTGTCTGATATTGACATCTACTGTCATTTCTTAGAGCACATTTTCGTCAACATTTTATACTTCAAGCGTTTGGACAGCTTCGCAACAAGTTGGGTGAGGCGTCCCTTCATTTCTTGGAACCAGCAATAGCTAGAACTAGCCTACGATACCAAACAAGCAACCGTTGTTCGTCAGCGATATCGAATTTTTGCCTCACACATATCAGTGTGCTATGGGATACATTGTAAAAAAATGACCAGAAAATTTACCAAGTGTTCTACACTGAAATCTCTTTGGGTGCCTTTAAATCAATCTATCGAGTAAGCTTAAATTTCAAACTTTCCCTGACTTGAATTTGATCAGAAGAGTTCCCGAAGCTGGAGACAAAAATATAGACCTACATTATTTTATTTCACATGTGGATGTCTCTATCATAGCTAGCTAGTCTGTGTCTAGTACAGACCGTCCTCCTTGTTTCCATGTACTTAGCATGTTACTCGTTGCCAAAGGTACTTCTAAAGACAGGTTAAAGCTAGATAAACGTAAATGTTGTTGTGAAAACATCAAGTTGTCTTTGTCAGTTTAGATTAGGATGTTTCGAAGGCGTATATTGTGTGGTGTCCATCATTCAACTGACAGATCACCAAGAGCCGTGGTGACCACCCAGTGCTCTGTCCTGTCTATATCTGTACTGTCAGGTATCAAAGTGAAGTGTTGGGTCGTGTGGCGCAACGGTAGAGTGCTCGACTCGGAACCAAGAGATCCCGGGTTCTAGTCCTGACATGTCATCGATCTTGTGCCTATGGGAAAGGAACTTCACACCACTTTCCTCACTTAACTCAGGTGAAAATGAGTATTGTCTGTCCTGTATTTGTTTCTATGTGTGGGGAACAACACCAGCCTATGTCCCACGTGTATTGTATAGTTTCAATTTTCAATGAAGAATGAGGTGAAAATGAGTACCGTCTATTCTCTATTGTCCTCTGCAATTGTTTCGGCATAAAAGTTACTAGTACATGTAGTTGAAATAACTTAAGTCTGTCATCACTATGTCTTGTATTAAATGTTGAAATAAAAAAAAACAGCTCGTCAGAAATTATATTTAAATTATAGAGAGATACTGAAGGGGCAAAGCCGAAGTCCTCAGCTGATCCAAAGGATGGTCCTTTTAAATCAGGCAAATGTTTCGTTACGTCTCTTTTCTCACGTTTTCAGCCAAGCGATCAGATCGCCTACTAGCCTCTTTCGCAGACTTGTAAGGGTGGCGGCGTTATTATTTTTTTCGGGGAGCGACGCGAGTTATGCCGCGGAGGGACGCCGGTTTTGCCGCCGCACTGGGAGAGACGGTTTCGCCCCCAACAATCCTCTCTCCCCGGCAAAACCGTCCCTCTGCGGCATAACTCGCGTCGCTCACCGAAAAAAAAGTAACGTTGCCGCCCTATAAGTCTGCGAAGGAGGCTACAGGTCGCCCCCTCAATAAGCCTAGCCCAGTGGTTTATTTCTGGTATGTTGGATCCAGGCCAAGTCCGACATTTTTCCCTCCAAAAACCGTATAAACGCATGTAAACAGCTTTACAGAAATTACGCATGTATACTGAAATGATAGAGAGATACCAGAAGTGCTTACAAAAGGCAAAACCTAAATCTTCAGCTGATCTAAAGGAGTGGTGCAAACGTTTTTACGTTTCACGTTTTCAGTCAAGCGTTTTGGTCGCCCCTAGTCTTCTCGCGATCGTAGCCTCCTGTGCAGGCCTCCGGGCGGCTGGGAGTTTTGATACTGCGTTTTGTAGAATTTTAACGCGTTGTTTTGCTGGTCATCCGTGGCGGGTACGAGGGGTGTTCAAAAAGTTCTCGGCCTCACCTAGAAAACGTCAGGGCAGTAAAATTTTTCTTAAACTATTTTATAATATAGTCCTCTCTAACTGCAATGCACTTGGTCCAGTGATGTTCCAGCTTTATTTTCCCCTTGTGGAAGAAGGTTGCATCTGGACCCCCCAGATAGGCCTATACCGCATAGATGACGTCATCATTACCATCAAAACGTTGACCACGTAAGTGGAACTTGAGTTTAGGAAACAGGTAGAAGTCCGAGGGTGCTAGGTCAGGTGAATTGGAAGGGTGGGGTTAGACTGCAAACCCAAATTCGTTTGCTGCTGTCGCTGACCCCTGTAGTTGTG